TATGTTTCACTGATCTGACAACAGAAAGAGCAACAAGCCAGCGATAGATTCCAGCTTCCCAGTTGACTGCAGGCAGAGAAAAGGTAACATGACTATTTAACCAACTTTTAGAATAGACTGAATTATTTATCGATGTACAGATCGTCACAGCAACCACTGCCATCTGTCTTCCATCGCAGACTCCATAGAAGAGGAAAATAACACACACACACAAGAGAAAGAGACAATGAGGCCAGCTCGGCTCTGTATCCTGAAAGAAGTGCACGCTCACCCCTTGTAAACGCTCCAAAAACGCTGATTGAAGACGATCAAGGCGTAGAAGCCAGCATATAGAAGGTTGGGTGGGGGGCTCCCCTTCTTCTGGATGACCCCTGGAAACTGATCTGGCTGCACAGCCCTGTCTTCAGTCACTCTTCAGCGAGAGGCATCGGTACTTGCCAACAATGAACTGTGTTTCTTCTTCCCAGCTTGTTAATATAGGATTGCTGAAGGAGAGATCCAGCAATCCTGATGCTGCCTCTTCTCCCTCTTCTCTCCTTATGACACGTGTGTTTGATCACTTGCAGTATCCTCACACAGGCTAAGCTGCAGAGCTGCCACTAGGTGTCTTTATTTGCTTTAAATTGCTCCTTTGTAGGGGAAAAAAACAGCATACACTACAAATTGATAGTGCTATTAGGCAATGGAGGATAAAAAGACAAACGGTTTATTTATTTTTCTCAGAGGCAGAATCACTCTAAATGATAAACATTTAGCCAAGTGGTAAACTTTAGAAAGCTTGTTAATGGCTGGATAGATGCAGAGAAGGGGATAGATCACATAATAGACTTAATATATATATATCAAATTATTATTGTTGATAATAATAAAGCTTGTTAATAGGTGGATATATCAGATAATAAAAAACACACACACAAACACAGATTTTTTTTTAAATTAAGCTTGTTAGGTGAAAAGCAAAGATCGTTTATATATTAAGAATATCTATCTATCTATCTATCTATCTATCTATCTATCTATCTATCTATCTATCTATCTATCTATCTATCCATAGATATATATTATAATAAAAACACCTTTATACAACTGAGACTAACTAGTCTCTCACAGGTCAGTGATGCTGATATCAGTGTTTCCCTTTATGTTGACATACAGAGATGAGAAGGTGTTCTGCAGCTCACAGCTATGTCCTTATGCTAGTGGAGGGGTCATTTGTTGCTGTTCTGTTTACTCGCCTCCAATACTGTGTTTTAGTGGAAGTGAAGTCTTAAAAAAAAAAATGCTGACAGGCAGGTTTGCTATGCTAGAAGAGACTGTGTAAGTCTCTTTCGCCATAGAAGCTTCTTCCTGTATGTTTTGTTTTTGCGTCGCACATGCGCAGCTCGGTGCACAGGTTCGGTAAGATTCTTGCCCAGGTGAAGTAACTCTTGTGCACATGCGGGATCCGGCTAATCAACTGGCCAAAGAATACGAACGTGGAAGAAGACCTGGATGATGATGGAAGCTAGGGCGTTGGAGGAGAGCATGGACATGACAGCCCTGGAGGCTGGGGCGTCCCGAGGCTGGGTGACATTCCGCCTTGACGTCATCGCGCATGTGTGTGACGTTGCCGCGCGTGTGCACGATAATGTCATGGCGCATGCGCTGTCATCTTATTGACGCCTGCCGGTGGTCATCTTGGCGATGGACAGCGGCAGAGAGAGGAGGGGACATTCCCCCGGGGGGGGGAGGGATGCCGCCGGGTCCCCTCCTCTCTCCTAACACTGTCGGGCTCTCGGTCCATGACCGAGTTCCCGACTTTTCATAGGGGGTGACACCAAAATGACTGTCAGTCATTTTGGTGCCACCCCTCCAATAGTGGCACCCGGGTGCGGGCCACACCCCCCTTGTGACGCCACTGGCTGGAGGCAATTGATTTTTGATAATAGTGAGCTAATATGCTGTGTATACTAGCACATGTATATGTATACTACCACTATGTCTAAAATCTCCAAGGGCCCACTTTCCCCCTTTAAAGCTCATATCTTCTTTAAATATAACCGTCATTTGACTTGGTATCAGCCTCTTGCAATCCATATACAGCAGAGCTCAGCGGAGGGGAGGAGGAAAGTAGTGCAGCAGGTCAAGGAGTATGCCAACAGGAGAGAGTGGCGTGACATAGAGATGAGCTCATTAATCTGCTGCTTCTCATTTAACTGTCCATTCAGACTGGGGGAGGGACAAGACCTGTAAGGGTTTGTTAACTGCAGCAGAGAAAGATCAGGTCTACTGCTTGACAGGGCTGTGCTGTGTGACAGGGCTGTGCTGTGTGACAGGGCTGTGCTGTGTGACAGCGCTGTGTATAGATGGGCAGAAATACAAATGCTTTGGCAGGTGAAAGAGCTCCTATATGTGTATTTCATCTGTGTGTTTAGATGTTTGCCTGAAGTTCAGCTTTAAAGCAGGTAAAGGTTAGAGCAACCAAGAGCTTACAGAAATGCATTCTTTAAAGGGTTATTTCAGCTTTTTTTTAAAAAGAGATAGCCTATGTAGTACATCACCAGTAGGTACCAATAAGCGGCTAAGCAGTAGAGAGCCCAGTGTGCATGCGAGTGGCTCTGAACAATATGACAGCACGGAAATATGCAGAATATTTTGCGTGGGTTTCAGTGGGGGTTAAAAGCTGCCTAGGTTACTGTTACCTAATGGGGCCTCTTCCCTACATAGACTATGTTTAAAAAAAGGTGAACTAACCCTTTAGGTCCCTTTCACATGGGGTTTAGGATCAGGTCCACCTGTCAGTTCTTCAGTCAGATCTCATTGGAAGCCCGATGCTAGTGTATGGACAGCCGCATCTAAAGGAACGGCTGTCTGTTTACATCCAGTTACTCCTGGCTCTGGCCGGGTCCAGAAAAACGAATGGATCAAAGATAACCAGATATTAACATCAGTCTATTTAGATCCAGCTGTCCATACTCTAAAATGGGTCCGGTAATGTTAGTTTTTTCCTCTATCGCAAGATGGTGAAAAAAACTGAACAGAAACGCATGTAACAACAGTGACAGTTCAGATCAGGAGGGGTTCTGTGCACAGCCTTAGGCCCCTTTCACACGGGTTGTCCGATCATGTCTGTCTCTCAGTTTGGATGGCCAATGTAAAGGTGCCCATACACCTGACGATTATCGCACTGTTACCCCTGCCGCTGGCCAGGTCCGAAAATAGGAAGGGATCAGAGATCTGTTTCGGCTGATCT